AAATATTGTTAACAATAATATTATTTCGGTTCCACCTTTTTACCGTAGAGACATAACTTATTGAGATCTCTTAATTCTTATTATTTTCAGATACATGGACCTCCTCTGAGGTCTTATCATTTGCTATGTCACAAGTCTCTTTTTGAGAAATTACCTCCATATTATGATCTCCTAGATCATTTGCTCCTTTTCACTTTCGAGAATTTTTATCTTTGGAACCAATTGGTCTACCACGTTTCAAGTGTGGCTTAGACTCATTTGCATTTATAGATTGTCCAACCGGGGCATCAATTCGAATAGGAACATTAGCAGCTGGAATATGTGACTTAGTCACCCTTGGTAGGTTAGTGAATGCATGCAGGTAGTTGATTTACAATATTTTGCAAATAAATTATCTTTTGAATCTCGTGTTCACATTGATTTGTTCGAGGATCTAAATGAGATAGTGATAATGCATTCCAATCTATCTCCTTTTGCAGCTGCTTATTTTCTCCCCCTAATATTGGGTATACTGATTCATCAAAATGACAATTAGTAAATCTTGTCGTAAATAAATCTCCAGTTATAGGTTACAAATATTTTATAATAGAAGGAGATTCATACCCAACATATATCCCCAATCTTCTTTGGGGTCCCATCTTTGTGCGTTGTGATGGAGAAATTGGAACATATATTGCACATCCAAATATTCTAAGATGGAAAATATTTGGCTCATGACCAAAAGCCAATTGTATTGGAGAGACTTTATTATAACTTGTAGGTCTGATCCGCACAAGAGCTGCTGCATGCAAAATAGCATGCCCCATGCCGAAATGGAAAGTTTTGTTCTCATAAGCATTGGTCTAGCAATTAATTGGAGGCATTTGATCAATGATTCCGCTAGATCATTTTGAGTATGAACATGAGCGATTGGATGCTCAATTGTTATCCCAGTTGATATGCAATAATCATTAAAGGTCTGAGACGTATATTCACCAGCATTATCAAGACGAAGTATCTTAATTGCATAATCTGGAGATTGTGCTCTTAATCTTATTAATTGAGCTAGTAACCTCGCAAAGGCCAAATTGTGGGTTGATAACAAGCACACATGTGGCCATCTTGTAGATGCATCTATCAAAATCATATAATATCTGAATGGTCCATATGGAGGGTGTATGGGCCCACATATATCATCCTGTATACGTTCCAAAAATGCAGGAGATTCAACTCCAATTTTAATTACTGATGGTCTAATAATAAGTTTTCCTTGAGAACATACAGCACAAGAGAATTTTTTAGTTTGAAGAATCTTCTGGTTCTTCAATGAATGACCATGTGAATTCTCAATTATTTTGCGCATCATATTATAACCGGGATGGCCCAACCGGTCATGCCAAATAATAAAATCATTAGTAAACTCCTTGTTTACTAAGGCATGTGATTCAACTACACTAATATTAGTGTAGTATAATCCGGAGAAAAATGCGAGAGGCTTTTCAAGCACATACTTCTTTTCCGTTTTTATTGAAGTAATATAAAGGTATTCAACCTTTCCTTCATTGGTGGTCTCAATATGATAGCCATTTTGGCGAATATCTTTGAAACTCAACAAGTTTTTTTGAGACCTACTACAATATAATGCATCATTACCAGCCAATATAGTTCCTCCTGGTAGTAATACAGTCGCTCTTCCAGAGCCCTCAATTAATTTTTTACTACCAGATATTGTTATGATATTGGCTTTTTTCATAATTAAATAAGAGAAATATCTCTTATCTTTTAATATGGTGTGCGTCATAGCACTATCCAGAAGACATATTTCTTCTTTATTATTCATACGGCCAACTGAAGACTGGGAAGTTTTCATATTCTTCAAGAAGAAGAAAAAATACATCATAAGTAATATTGAAAAATTTAAAAACAAAAGAGACTACATTTATGAAATTAGATACTGACAACATAAAAAGTTTTATTCAAAACATGAACTTCATAAAAAGAAATACATTTATTCTTATAATTTTTTCCAATAATAAGTCTTCAGTTATGATGCTCAAATAAGTCTCCAACTTCTAAATGAGTAATATCTGCAAGGCCTTCAAAAATATCATCTTTATAGGCAAGGTTTGCTTCAACTTTATCATGATTATTCATAGGCCCCGCCTCAACATCATTTTGAAAGGTCAAGTGAGTGTTAACTTTATTTTGTTTCTCTTTTATAGAGGCTTGATAAAGTTTGACAAAATATTCAGGCGTACGTCAAATTCGTGCCCAATAATTTTTCATACCATATCGGTGGACATTATTACCTTTGCCTTTTAAAGGATTATTCTAAGAACCCTTATTGTTCTCTTGTTTATAACGACCACCATCATGGTGATTATTATTTCGTCCCTTGCCATGCCTACATATATTTATACGACCATGATAATTATTTTGTCTTCTTTCAGACTTTTGATTTATCGCTATCACATTCGCTTCTGGGAATTGAGTCGATTCAGTACTGGGGCGGACTTCATGATTTTTCATTAAAAGGTATCATTATCACACTGCCATTATTATATCATCAATATGGACCATTGGGACCTAAACCCAATGTCTGACACATATGAGACGTGTTAGGCCATTAATATGATGCGACATGAACTCAACATCTTATTATCATGGTGCACCGGGACTTGAACCCGGTGTCTTACCCTCATGGTGCAGTGGGACTTGAACCCACTATCTTATGCTCATATAATATTTATCACAAATTATCTCATTCTCTTTAGAGAATGGAACATAATTTTAGATCGCCACAAATTCAAGTTTTGATAAATTTAATATAGTATAAAACTATCTTACTAAATAGTAGAATTAATCTACATGATAAAAAAAAAATTATAACAAGTAGTATGCCTTAAATATTCTGGGTATAAATATACACATGTCACGAAGGCATATTAATAGTAGTGAATCATTAAAACAATAAATATGTATCATAGTCGTTCCATACAAATTCACCAATTACTTTCAACACACCGATTCATATGTACTATAACTAGTAATCCCGTTCGATTTGCTACATATTACTAATATTTGACATCGTCCAAACTTACGTAAATGTAAATACCGAAGATTCAATAACTAATACCTTTGGATTTAAGCAAAGCTCAGGATATGTTATCATTATTATTCCATTAAAAAAATATCACGCATATCAAGATTACTAGTTTCAAAGATCAAAGAATTTTAAATCAGATGTTATACCTAACAATAAACTGACTTCCTCCTAATATTTCACAAGGTTCTTTCAATATCATGTCAAAGTAATGATAGCATGCTTTCCTATTTCATAAGGTTAAACTTAGAACAAGCTGGCATGACAATTTAAATTAAAGCTTACTGTTTTTTTTATTATACCAAGTCATGTATATCCAAAGCAAAGTCATGCATGTAGTGATTTATATAATTCAAATACGGTAGAAGCAAATGGATGTGTACCTGAATTTGTAAGAAAATTGACTAACCCTTTAGGAAGAAGATAATACCCGGTTGGAGTAAATATTTCAATTGGTTAGAATAATCGTGCTGATAACGTGTTAAGAAATGAGAGCAAAATAGAATAATATAGTAATAGAGACAAGATGTATATGAGTAGAGTGTAGAAATTATCTTATTCAAGTGTGTTTCTTCTATATACTTCATAGGATAAAGAACACCTTATTTATAGAATATAAGATACATTAAAGTTTACAAGAATATACCTAGGTATTACAAATATTAAGTGATAAATTAACTAGACACATAGAACTCAAATAGTTTATGCAACAGGGATGTCCCTTAACATGTTCATAACACTTTTACCATATTTGAGACTTGAGAGGTTTTGAACCATAGGCTAAAATACCAACGGATTTTACAACCCCCATCCCCCCGCCTCTTACCTCCCCCGCCCCCCAAAACCCACATTCTCCTTCACTGTCTTTTACCTCTGTTATTTCAATTTTCACCACCATTGCCATTTTTGAAGTGCCCCAAAAAAACCCATTATTTTCTTCTTCTTCTTTTTTTTTCGTTTTTTTTTTCTTTCTCTCTCTCTGTAATGCTCCTTCTCAGTTCTCATCTGATATATACTAAATCTATACATGCCCTTCTTATGTGACTGATAATCTATTGAAATTACTGGGAAAAATCCAATCTTTCTTTCCNAAAAATGTGTGAATGGTTATTAGACTTGCAATTTTAATACTTCTCTTCAATCCAGTAGCTAGATTTTGGTCTTCTTTTATAACCGTAGTGCGCGGGCCAGTTTGCGTCCACCTCGACTAATTCAACAGGTACATGCTACCTCACACATGCACAGATATCGGCTAACTCTGTCCACCAAGGCATCACCTAGTGTTTTTGCTTGGTCTTGGTTTTCTTTAGTTTATCTATTAGGGCATTGTAAATAAATACATCCTTTTCAACTGTCGAAAGAAGGAAGTTCACTTTTAGTGACTAGAGATTGACTAGTTTATTTAATTGACTTAAAGATCTTTCTTTATATTTTACTAGTTAAGGCGTTCGATCATCTGTCGGTGAGGTCGATGGAAGAGAAATGAATGAGATGTTTAATTGACTTGTTGCTTGTGTAAATGGTTATTAGACTTGCAAGTTTGCATGTAAGCTAGATTTTGGTATTGATGTTGCTTCGTTTCTATATTAGCACTTCATAAATAAACATAAGTAAGATTAAGAGAGATGAATGAGATATGTTTAGTTGATTTAGTTTTTATGTTTTTTCCTTATTCAGTTGAAATTGATATGTTTACTAGACTTGCAATCTTGTCTTGTTCTTCCCTTCAATGTAGGCCTATTTATGTGAGCTCGATTATTGTGTCATGACCTACTGTCAAGTGTTCATCTAAGTGAATGATTTCTGAGGATAAGTTTAAGGAATACTAATAGTTTGGACATGGGCCAGAAGTGGTGCCTATGAAATACTCTAACTTAGTTATTTGAGCTATGTATTAGTGTATTGTACTTAGGGTGTATGATGTTTTCTGTTGTCGATTGTAGGATATAATGGTGAAAAAGGTTAAGAGAAAGGGCAAAGGTGGTTTGAAGGAGAAGCGGAATCCAGTGGCATCTCCAAATCTTGTTGCTCAACAAGACACTCAAAAAGTTAATACCCCCGAGGATGGAGTTACAGCTGTGAATGATAAAAAAATATGCGACCATATTGATAAGGGTATTGATGTGGAGAAAGTTTCTGCTAAACTTGGCTCTTCAGGACCTGTTAGGTGTGAAGATTGTAGGGAAGGAGCGGTTAATAGACGGGCTGGGAAAGGAAAAGGTAAACATGGAAAAAAGAAGGGAGGTGGAGAATCAAAGTCAGATTCCAAAGCCATTTGGATCTGTTTAGAGTGTGGTCATTTCTCGTGCGGAGGTGTTGGATTTCCAACTACTCCTCAGAGCCATGCAGTTCGGCATGCAAGACAGTACCGCCACTCATTGGCAGTACAGTTTGAAAATCCTCAGCTGCGCTGGTGTTTCCCGTGCAATAGACTAATTCCTGCCGAAAAGATAGAGGAGAGCACTGAACAAAAATATGTATTACAGGACATTGTGAAGATGATTAAAGGGCGGTCGTCTGAAGAGCCTAGTCTTGATGTTGAGGATGTTTGGTTTGGGACGGGGAGTATCACGAGTGGGATCAAGTCAGAAGCTAGTGTTGAAATTGGTGCCTACGGGAAAAGTGGTTATGTTGTTAGGGGATTGCTTAATTTAGGAAATACTTGTTTTTTTAATTCTATAATTCAAAACCTACTTGCAATGAATAGATTACGGGATTACTTTCTTGAAATGGACGATTGTGCTGGTCCTCTTACTGCTTCTTTTACGAAGCTCTTTGCTGAGACGAGTCCTGAGGATACCTTAAGAAATGCTATAAATCCAAAAACTTTCTTTGGTTCCTTGTGTGCGAAGGCTCCACAGTTTAGGGGATATCAACAGCACGACAGTCACGAGTTGCTTCATTGTTTGCTTGACGGTTTGTGTACTGAGGAATTGACTGCAAGAAAGAAACTCAAGTGTTCACAGGATGATGGCAAATCTCCTCCTACTTTTGTTGATGCCATCTTTGGGGGTCGACTCTCTAGTACTGTTACTTGTCTGGAGTGTGGACACTCTTCATTAGTATATGAGCCATTCTTGGATCTCTCGTTGCCGGTTCCCACTAAGAAGCCTCCACCTAAAAAGACTCAGCCAGTTTCCCGTGCGAAGAAATCAAAACATCCTCCAAAGAGAAGTGGAAGAGTCCGCCCCAAGATTAGCAGAGACGCAGCTTCTCTTAATGCTCAAAGTGCTCAAGAAAGCACTTCGATGCAGTCTAGTGCGCCAATCACTGAAAGAACAACAGTTCCTTCTGATGGTGCATTGCTAGATTGCGTTGATGCTAGTGATGTTGCTGATAATATGGGCTTAACTTCACATAATCTATCTTCCTCTCTGAAGTCCAATAATGAAAAAAATGTTGACGGAGAGTCGACTTCAATGGACAATTTTACATGGTTGGATTATCTTGATCAAGATAGCCCGCCTAATGGTAATGACATCGCTTCTCAAGTAACTTCTCCTGATCTATCTTCCTCTCAGAATGGTATTACTGGACAGTTGAATTCAGTGGACAACTTTACATGTTCGACTAATCTTGATCAAGATATTCTGCCCAAGGGTGATGACATCGCATCACAAAATGATGATATTCTAACTAATCAGGGTTGTGGAACTGAATATGCTGTTCAACCTAATGTCTCCTTGCAAATTAATCAGGGTTGTGGAGAGGAAGCTTGTTCTCCAGATGATTCGATTTGCTTGGACGATCAAGGACGATCTAGGTCACCAAACTGCAATATAGCTTCTCAATTTTGTGAAGAAGCACCAGTTAAAGACTGTGATGCTAGTGAAGTTGCGCGTAACTCAGCATCAAACAGCCAGGTCTTCTCAGCGGATTCAAATCTTGGAAAAGATTCATCAACAAGGCTTTGGGAAGATGAAGTCCCATTACAGGTACAAGATTCAGAAATTCTGTTGCTTCCTTATAAGGAAGAGACCTCAGCTACCAGTGACGTACCAAAAGCAGAAGGCGAGGTGTCCTATGATGCTGTTGTCCGTGAACAAGATTTTACGGACTTTGATGGTTTCGGCGGCCTATTCAATGAACCTGAGCCGGTTGCAGGGCCTGCTGAAAAGCCTTTACTAAATGGTCCTGCTTCTACGTCAAATGGATTTGGAGAAGCTAGCTCTGCTGTTGGAAATAGCACTGAGTCTGATCCAGATGAGGTTGATAATACTGATGCTCCAGTGTCTGTGGAGAGTTGTTTGGCTTGTTTCACAAAGCCTGAGCTTCTATCTAAAATTGAACATGCTTGGCAATGTGAAAACTGTGCAAAACTTCTACGACAACAGAGGATGAGACTGAACAAGAAATTGCTGAAACCTAGATCAGGCGATCTGGAGAATGCGCCAGAGGACAGTAATCCAAGGGATATTGAACTGAGAACCACTAACGGAAGTGCTGTGAAAGGTGTGTCAGATGCTTTTGATGACGGGTTGGTGTACCAAAATAGAACAAATGGCTACTCAAGTCAAGATGAAGCTTGTAGTGTAGTAAATCGCGATAATAGAGTTAAGTTGTACGAACCTGAATCTGAAGAAAGTGAAAATGAAACGGACTCTAAAGGTGTCAAAGTGGAAAGAGATGCAACTAAAAGGATACTCATTGATAAAGTCCCTCCAATTTTGACTGTTCATCTAAAGAGGTTCAGCCAAGATTCTCGAGGACGCTTAAGTAAGCTCAGTGGCCATGTGAATTTCAGAGATACTATTGATATCAAAACATTTATTGATCCCAGGTGTGTTAATTTTCCTTCCTTTGAAAGGTCAGTTAAAACCAGATTTTTTGGCTGTCTTCACTAAATTGAGTTTCGAGTAATTCTGTTCATCTTGTAATAAAAACCTGCAATAGATTATTCAAAACTGATGAAATCCATGTCAGTTAAGCGGACTCTTTAAACATAATAAGCTTTTGGAGATGAGAAATGATTGTGTAATGTAATATTGTCTCCTTCCAATTAGAGAAAGCTTGACCTTAGACTGAAGAAATAACTATCATATCGAGATTTATGGAGAAACAGAGTTGTCGCCTTCTTCTCTGTTTGAGATTATTTGTATTCAAGTTCATTAAAGCGGATGAAAATAACAAAAGAAGCAGGAGCACGAGTCATTGAACTTTCAAAGTTATTAAATAAAATAGTTCATTGGAGATTTCCAGCAAGTATAGCTTAAAGCATGTGATGGTAAGATTGGTGTAGTCTTGTAGACTAAATTAATGATGTTCCTTTATCATAAGTATGGATGCATACATTTTTCTATGTTATAAATATTTGATTTTGGGTTGCACATAATTGGCTTGGCGCTTTAGTTAATAAAATATCTCAATTATTAGTATCTTAGAGTACTAACAAATAACAATTACGTCTCTGCATCCCAAAATTCCAAATTTATCATGTCATTCTCATCTCGTCACATTCTTATTTTGTATATGGTCATGAATTCCATTTTTAGGATTATTCCTAATGCCTTAAATTCACCTCTCCCTGTGTCTTCATAGGCTCATTTTCCTAATCATTGTAGTAAGGATCAGATCCTTTGTTCTGACATCAGATTACCTCCGCTCAACCAAATTGGGATGTTGTCAAAGTTAGTCTCTGTATTATGTCTTGGATAGGAAATTATTTTATTAAAACAAAAGGGGTAGCTCAAGTGGAAAGCACCTCTACCTCCAACGTTAGGGTTGCGAGTTCGAGTCACCAAGGCGAGCAAATTAGCATTTCAAAAAAAAAAGGAAATGATTTTATTATGTGAGTTCTAAAACTTTGTTAGCCAGAGTGCTGATTTCAGGATTATGTGAGTTCATGTATCACTTAATGTTTCGTTGATGGCTTTAAATAACAGGAAAATAGTACAAAGAAAAGGAGTATCACCGTCAATTAATTTTTATCAGCATCATGGCTGTGTGTACAGATTAAGAGGCTTCGGAAATGCTTTTGGAACTTGTTTATGTTAGGGCTTGAGAACAATATTGTAGCTTTTAGAGGATCCTGTCCAAATAATAAATCTTGTCAACTAGAGAACAGAAACATTTATTTATCTTTTTTTGGGTATTTTAACTTCCAGAATAAACTCAAAAAGGTAGCAACTAGTGTCTGATCATGATGAAAAGTAACAGCTAATGTTTAGTATTATAATTTAAGAAAAGTTTGGTACCTCGACATGGTCAAATGGACTGTCTGCTAAACCTGCCAGTAGCCTGTCTAAATAGTCAAAGGATCTTATTAATTTGTGCCTCGGGATTTCTGAAATTTGTTCTCATTTTTTACTTTCTAAAGAACTGCTGAAAACACCATCAACTGCTTCTTCCTGTTATGCGTAAGCATATTGGGGTCAAATATCATTTTAAGAGGGCCGCACACTTTTTATCGTGGATTGGCAGTCGTTTCCAGTCCTTTGAATTATTGAATTTCTTGCTCCTCTCCGTGACGTGCCTTCGGTTTTATCCATGCAAGATAGTGTTACTGTCCGTTTTTTGCTTGACAGTTTAGAAACTGTTCTCCCGATTGGTTCTAGTCCATCTTTGATCTTAGAAGTTCTTTTTTTTGGGTGGTGGGTTCTAAGTAAGGTCTTCTGATTTCAGGAGTATTATTTACCCTTGGATTTGTATAAAAGTATTTTGGAACATCTTTGAAACTAATTTGACATGGAAACACAAGCAAACTTGTATCTGTTTACCCCTCTGGGGGCGGACGCCGGGGAAGCCATAGTTTTTTTTCTTTTGATTAGTTAAGCTAGAAAATTGTCTCTGAATCTCAGCTCTAATATGTTCCATCAGCTTATTTTTCACCTTTTTTAATTTTATATTGAAGCACTTGATATGATTGATGTTTCTGCATGGAACTTGTTATCCAAGTGATACGAACATCTTAATTGATATTCCAGTGCTTTGGTTTTCATTTTGCACTATCTGTCACTGGTTTGAAGTTAGTGTTCCGTGAGTGTGTAGCGAACCTGATGTTGGAGAGGATTCACCAAAAACGGTTGTAAAATATGAAATTATTGGTGGATCTTTATCTATCCTTTGTTGGATCTTTATCTATTCTTTAGTGTATTTTCGTATTTCTAGACTTCTATTATTATTATTTGTTGTTGTCTTTGCTTCGGCTTCTGATTGCACTACCTAGTTGTTTGTTTTGTGTTTTCGCTTGGTTTTCTGATTGGTTTGCTTGTCATTGCCCCTTCCTTTTAACTTTCTTGAGCCAAGGGTCTACCGAAAACAGCCTCTCTACCTTTTAAAGGTAAGGGTAAGGTCTGCGTACATACTACCCTCCTCAAACTCCACTTAAATACACTGGTTTTGTTGTTGTAGTTGGCTATGAACTCTTTAGTCTTATTCAAATGCTTATTTGGTTTATTGCTGATTAACCCATTTTAAAGATTGATTTGTCCATTAAAGAAAGAGTATATTGATATCCGTAAAATTGATGATGTTAGGTATTTTTTGTGCTGTGAAACCAGAAAAGAGAAAAAGAAAGACTTTTGAAACCAAGTCGGCGAGACTCAATTGAAAACGTGTAATAGTATTTTTTGCAAGGGTGCATATTATTTCCAGGACCGAGTAGGTCAAGTCTCTTTTGCAAAATGTTGTCTGCCTGCAGTTGTCTGATAATGAAATGATGTAACTGCAGGTGCCTGCAGAAGGAGGTTTACAAATACCGGCTTGTGGGTGTCGTAGAACATTCAGGGACTATGAGGGGAGGTCACTATGTTGCATATGTTAGAGGCGGCCCAAAGATCGCTGGGAAAGACAAGGACGCGGAAGATTATGTGTGGTATTATGCCAGTGATGCCTACGTACGAGAGGTCTCATTGGAAGAAGTTCTTCGGAGTGAAGCCTATATTTTGTTCTATGAAGAAATTTGACACGAATTTCTTCGCAATTTTTTTGACATCAAAATGCTCGGGGTTCAGTTGATCACCCTACAGGTTCGCATATTAGAAACAAATACGTATACACAACGAGAAGGGGTTGAAGGTAGAAAGGTGAGTTGTATTACTACAATCATAGAGTATTAACACCCATTTTTTGTTATTTTTCAAATTTCAAAATGCCATTACTTAAAGATGTACATGTTGAAAAATGCATGTAGAGAAAGAGTTCAATTCTTTGTTATGCAAAAAAAGCAATCCTTATTTACCAGCATGGGGTGGTAAGTTTATGCTTATTAATTTCTTTTCTTATTTTTGTATCAATTGTTTACCAAAATGTACATGTTGGAAAATGATGAGTTTGACTGTACATTGTCATTCAACATTTTTCCTTTAGTGGGAAAAGTTAAAATTGGCCCATGAACTTTGTGAATGTTATTTGGCGAAGTGCACAAACAGCCATTCTTAGGGCTATTATTAAGGGATTAGCTAGTATTTATTTTATCCTGAAATTTTGAACTAAAAATCTTAATTTTAGGATAATTTACGATATTTATGTTCCAAAAATTGAATTGAAAAACTGAAATTCAGAACGTATTGGTTAATTTCTAAATAAAAGCTCTTTAGAGTGGCTACCCGGTGTTATTTCTACAGTGTTGTCCATGCTTATCTAAAAAGTTTGCTAAAATCTGAAAGACAGATAATATGTATGGAATATATTTTATATTTACATCAATCTAATAAACACATAATACATATAGTTACATACACTATTATTACTAAATTATAATTTTTAATACATATTTCAATCATGATAAATTAGTACTATTTGAGGTAACTATTGAGTAATAATAAAATTTAATAGTATTTTGAGCATCCTCTTTGGTTAGTATGTCTGCCTATATTTTGTACCTTGTGGTTACTTTGGTAAGTTTCAAGACAGAGAGGATGAAATTCAGGAAAATAAAAGAATCTTTTAGGCAATGTTCCAAAGACATACATCCAAAGATTAAATAGTAGCATACAAAAAGAAACAAATAATAATATAATATCATCTGTCCAAGAAAACATTCATTCAGTTCATCACTTTCAACAATTCAAAGTCCTTAAAATCTCAAACACCAAAAAGAAAAAGCATACCCACAAAAAGAACACAACAAAAGAAAAAGGAAACAGCTAAAAGAACACATAAAAAAAGAAAAAGAAAAAAGAAACCACCTTCTTGTTAATTCTTCATTCTGCCTTTTTATATTCCGCAATCTAAGTTTATAGGTTCAACTAATTTGGATTTGCACCGCGCATGATTCACCTTAATGCATTACAACAATAACAATATTATTCTCAGTATGATCTTATAAGTGGGGTTTGGGGAGAGTAACATATACACAAATCTTATCTCTATCTTGTAACTGTAGAGAGTCTATTTTCGATAGACTCTCGGCTTAAGGAAAACAAAATCCGGACATTAGTAAAAAGGAAATACAATAGTGAAAAAGTCATTAAAAAAACACTAGCAATAACAATATAATAAAAAAATCAAAGGAAAAAAAATAACGGATAGCAGTAAAAATCTAAGAAGATTTGCACTGCCCATAGCTCACGAAAGAGAGAACTTTGTTTTGCGTTTTTTTAGCTTTTAGTAATGGAATTCGAAACCTCTAATCAAAACCGAAGAATACTATCCATGTCACAACATTGTGTGATGGACCTTATTAATTATACTTAGTTCCCATTCCTCCATTTGATTCTTTCTGCTTCAGTCCTTTTGTCCACACTGTACCATAAAATTGCCATTTCCTTTTTTGCCCTTTCTTTAACAAAAACCCCAACTTGTCACTCTCAAAATTCCCACTCTCAAACCCCACCAAAAAAGAAAAAAGAACCCCAACAAAACCCATAAATTTTCTTGAACTTTTAGCTTCATATCAATGGCAAAACCACCATTTCAAGTGGTGTTTTTGTTCATATATTTTTCATTTTGCACCCAAATAGTTAAAGTAAAAGCAACATGGTGTGTAACAAGAAGTGATGCAAGTGAAACAGCTTTACAAAATGCATTAGATTATGCTTGTAGTTCTGGTGCAGATTGTGTTACTCTTTTGGAAAATGGGCTTTGTTTTCTTCCTAATACAATTCAAGCGCATGCTTCTTATGCATTTAATAGTTATTATCAGCGCAGAAATAGAGCCCCTGGTTCTTGTGAATTTGCTGGCACTGCCACCATTGCCAAAACTGATCCAAGTAAATCTTCTATTCTTTTTTTTTTTCATTTTCTTTTTCACTTTCTTGTTATCTTGCAAATGAATACTCCGTCAGTTCCATTTTACGTTACACTATTACTATTTCAGGAGTCAAAGAAGTTTTTCTCACCATGATTTTCTTAAATATTTTGTTGTTGTTGTTGTTGGTTTTCTTAAATATTTTATAAATACTTTTTATATAGTTTTTCATATATATGAATTTTATTTCAAAAAAGTACAAAAATTTAAATGATTTGACCCTTATGATGGATAAAAAAAAATGATCAGGGTCAGACCAAAATGGTCTATTCTATTCGGTCTTGCGCTATATTTCTGCAATTTTTCGGTCTTACCCTATATTTTTTGCAAAAGTTTGTTTCTACAAGTTGAAGCCTAGAACCCATAACCTCCTTGTCATATGACATTAAATTTATCACCTACGTCAAAACTTCCTTCTATATATGCATCAAAGATCAGTTATTTATGGGTTGAGAAGTGATTGTTTATTTTATTTTATTTTATTTGTGTAATGTAGGTTATGGATCTTGTGTTTATCCAGCATCTCCAAGGTATGAACTTTAACGTTCTCTGTACAATGCTTTGCCTTTTCTGTGTAATTCTTGATATTTTTGATGCTGTACATTTTTCTAGTTATTTTTAACTTTTGTTTTTAAAATTTCTTGAAAGTGGTCCTAATATAATATATATAAAGAAGAAGAGAGAAGAAACTTGTAGACAGCAAAGAATCTCTAGAACACTTGTGATTAGTAGGATTATTATATTGTAATCTCTTTGCAGATGGTGTTTGTTCTTCTGCTTTGACTACTAAAAGAATGTCCAAATATTCTCTATATTTGGAAAGTAAAACTACAAAAAGAAAATCTCTTAGAAAAAGAGCAAAATATATAAATTTCCTTTTTTATTCTTTTAACTCTTTGAATGCATGGGGTAGGACCGTAGGACTATTTTGGCGTTTGTTTTGCTGCTAAACCTCTTTTAGTTTTGAACCATTCAATGGTCCTTGTTTTATATGGATAGTCTAAAAAAAGCTGCAAAAGCCAGCTAAGCTATCTGGCGACAATAGTCATCTCGAGCAGAGCATTTTGATTTTGACTATACATTTTTAACTGTGTATGGAGTTTAATTACACAATGTATGGATTTCACTAATATACATTGTGTAATTACGTATATTATTAATGTAATTTAACGTGCAGGTTATTGATCTAATTTATTTTCAGTTATCTTTTAAGAGGTCGTTTGATTCGAAAACAAGTTATGCTGGGATTAGTCATATTAGGATTAGTTATGTATTGTTGGGATTAGATATCCTTATATTATTTTTTATTGATTGTTTGATATGTTGTATTAATCCTGAGATTGTCAATTTTACCGCTTTATCCTGGGATTACTATTTCATCCTCTGGCAGGTATAAGTTTACCCGCTACTAATTTTAATCCTGGAATAACTTATCCCAGAATTAATAACCAAACAAGGGGTAAGGTGATACTAAATTTTTATCGCAATAATATTTTTACTTATCCATCATACCAAACGTCTCCTAAGTGACTTCATAGTGTATGCATCATATATGTGCAGAAAATAAGTATAGATCAACTTAGATATGTATTTTAGTAACCTACGTCTAAATTTTGAGTCTAAATTTTGAATCCGCCACTGTATGGAACGCTAGTTAGTAGCTTGCTGATGCATCAATCAATCTGCTAGTATCTGTATTAAAGATCATTTGCTCTTTCAAATCAAACATGTATATGGACAAGTTATGATTATCATGTATGCTATTATTCGTGTCAATTCTGTTGTACAAAATTGGCATTCTGATCTTAAATGCAAACTTGGATTCTGTAATATTTCAGCACTGCTGGTGGCTCTACTACTCCGAGCACCCGTGGTGGTGGCACGGATGGAGGGACGACGACACCAATCACGACGCCAACTCTTTATCCGCCACCACCAGGGGCTGCAAATCCTTTCAATGGCAATGGAGGAACAACACCGCGCGTTGGACCTGATATTCCTGACTCGGAGGAATCTAAAGCTTCTCCCAAGTGTTCAAATTTAGTTCCTGCATCTTTGATGCTTCTCTTCATTCATATTTTTCAACCATTGTAGGCATTTCTAGTAGAGTAAAGCCACACTTTATGCTAGTTTTGAAGACTAGGACAATACAATTTTGGTTAGAAAATGGAAGTTTTCATTTTGTTATTATGAAAACTTCAGCCCATTAGAGTAACATCTGGTCTTTATTAATATCAATTGTCTTGGCATGTCGATAACAAGGTTGGGTCCTACCCGACAGCGTTGATCTAGTGGTATGAGCGCAACATGTGATGTGTGAATTAGGCGTACGTCATGAGTTTGAACTCTGCGGCAGACAAAAACCTGACCTTTTAAATGGAGAATGGTTCATTATTCACCCAGTTTCGAATGTGAGCAACTGGCCTTTGAGAATTTCTTGGTTATAAAAAAGACAAGGCTATGTTCCTTTTGATGTTAAAACCATTTCATTTGTTAGCATGTCCAAGTTCTACCATTCTGTGTTTATACTTTGCATACCCATTTCATTTAGTTTATACTTTGCATTTCACTTCATATTGATAATTGGGTCACAGTGTAATGATTTTGACTGTTTTTCTTTTGATTATATTTCTATTTTTGTTCTTTGGTGCGAAGGGAGCCGTGACGTAATCGGTAAAGTTATTGCCATGTGATCAGGAGGTCACGGCATTCGAGCCATAGAAATAGCCTCTTGCAGAAATGCAGGGTAAGGTTGCGTACAATAGACTCTTGTGGTCCAATCCTTTTCCGAACCCCGCGCATAGCGGGAGCTTAGTGTGTTGAGCTGCTTTTTTTGGGAGGAGAAAGGTCCAAAATCGCCCCTCTAGTATATAGTTTAAGTTTGTCTCCCGTTATACTTTTCGTTCAGATCCATCCCTACCGTTGACAAACTTTCTAGAATTGCCCTTAACCCTAACGGATCTACACCGTAGCACCCAATCCCTCTATTAATTTGTCCACATCAGTTGCCATATCAACAGGTCCCACGTTAAAATTAACCTCATCATCACACACTCATTTGTAGATCCCTCTATTAATTTGTTTCTTGCTCTCCAAAATATAAAGATTACCCTCATTTGCCCATGAGTTTTTAGCCATTAGCCATTTTCCCCACTTTGAGATATGGAAAAAAAATTCTTTTAAAATTTCAGGAATCTTCTCCACCCCATATTTTTTCTTTCTCTTCAAACGCACTCCACATCGCCAGAAAACTCCCATGAACAGAAAAATTTTAATGGTGATAAAGTAAATATGAACCAACCAACAAAAAGAACAAATAAAATCCCAAAACCACCATTAAAGCACCATGTAAGCTTATAGCCATCCGCCACAACTAAAATCGAGCCGCTGCCGAACTCCACCACCAGAATATTCTAGTAGCGACATCCCCAAACAAATCGTCATAGCCAATAGCCCCATTTTCGACCAACGAAAAAATCCAAACATTCATTGACCACCGATGAACGTCGTCGCTTACCAACAAGAAAACCCTAACCCACTTCCCCTGTTTCATCTATAAGATTTCACTTAAATACGTACCTTTCTGTTATGATAGAACTTTGTTGGATTTCCTTAGAAGTGTGCTTTGTTATGAGTTTATTGTCGATTTATGTAGATTAAGAAGAAAGGGGCTGATGATGGAAAGGGAGAGAAAGTGAGGGGTTCAGATAAGTGGGGGTGGTAAAGGATGAGAGATAAATGGGTACATGAGATTAGAGATGAGTATGAAAAAAATTGAGGGGTCAGCTGCCACAGTGTACATCCGTTAGGGTTAAGGGCAATTTTAAAAAATTTGTTAACGATAGGGATGGATCTGAACGAAAAGTATAACGGCGGACAGACTTAAACTATATACCATAGTAGATGGACAATTTTGGACCTTTTACCTTCTTTTTTTCCTTTGGTGTGAGGAAAATATTACAAATTATTCATTGTTTAAAAATAAATCTCATCTTTTCCACTTCATATTTTTCATACAAGACGATATTAAAATCTAGATTCTTGGAATTATGATTTAAAATGAAGTAATTAATCCTATATATTTCCTACTTTAAGACCAATGGTTTAAGAGGTTATTTTTTTTCTTTGTGTCCAAACCAATTTGCGATATCCCATCAACATAAGAACAAGGTAAACTTTCCACAAAATTTCCTTCCGAAAATGAGTATTGATATTATATTTGAATGGAAATACAGCTATATATTTCTGAATTTCCTTATATTTTTATTATTTATTATTAATAAGCTACAAAGCTGGTACATTGTCTCTAATCCGTTTGCTTCCGTCTCCCATCATCGGCTTCTCTATTTGATATCACCGCGGAAATTACATAATTTCCATTTTAAGAAAATACCTTACAAATGGAGAAGTCAAAAGAAAAAGGAAAAAATTAGTTTATTTTACATTCATTCAAAACCAATCATAAATAAATGGCAAAAAATATAAAAACTAAACTAACCCGATGACTCTAAATTGCACATCACATAAAGGGGTTTTCTTGATTATTCACAATTTGAAATATTCAATCTAACGAAAAACTTTATAAATGGAGAAGAAAATAAAGGAAAAATATGAATATTTTACTTGATAAAAAGAATATAATAATTAGATGAAGAGGAATGAGTTTAATTTACATTCACAACAACAATAACATACCTAGTATTATCCCACACCGTGGGGTCTGGGAAGGGTAGTGTGTACGAAAAACTTACCCCTACCTTGTGAGGATAGAGAGGTTATTTCCAATAAACCCTCGGCTCAGGAAATTACAGAAATCACAACAAATCATATATAAATTACAGAAAATATTAAAATTCAAATGTGACAGTCTTCCAAATATACATCAAATTTGAGGGTTCTTGATTACATGTACAATTTTTGATATATTAAAGAATATTAATATTGTCAATCATGATTTATGAATCATCATTTCCAAAGAATAGAGTTATTTTTTTCCTATTCTTTTTTCCTCTCTCAGCTAATTTACAAGTAAATTGAGGTCAGATGATCTTTTAGATCCAATCAAATTGGTATTCACCAATTGGCCAGGGCTTAATTACCTTTGGTTTAACAGGGCATTTCTCAGGTTGCCTGACTATATAAATTATATCTCCAGCTTTATTGTACATATCCTGATTCCTATGCCATGTCCATAGAGCATGTGTCTCATTTTTCACCTGCAAATTATCAACAAAGATAACATTTCAGATTTCTGTAACTATGAACAAAAATGGCGAATGTTATGGCATTTAGCGGCAATAAGCCGATAACTAAGACTGCGTGCAATAAACCCTTGTGGTCCGGCTCTTCTTCGAACCCCGCGCATAGCGGGAGCTTAGTGTACCGGGCTGCCCTTTTTAAGCCGATAACTAAAGTTGCAAGAAGTTACAATGTTATGGCATTTAACGGCAATTAGCCGATAGCTAAAGTTGCAAGAACTAGAACATATAACATGATGAAATGCCTTCATTCCTACTTCCCATATGAGAAAATTTAGAATTTTTTTGGTTTATAGGCTAATTTGACAAGTTCTAGCGATTTTTTGCACGGTCTATAAATTGACTTTCAAGATAATCTTGTGCTACAAAAGGTACTTTTTGATAACCAAGAAATCCTCGAGGGCCAGTTGGCACACAGTTTGAGACTCAACGGACAGACCAGCCCTTCTATGGTAGAGTTCAAACTCGTGATGTGCGCCTACCACACATCAAGAGTTGCGCTCTTACCACTAGACCACAGCTCTAGAGGCTGCTAGAAAACAATTATCTTAATCTTAAGGTATATCTTAATGACAAGAGTGTGTTGCCCTAGTGGTGAGCACCCTCCACTTCCAACCAAAAGTTTGTGAGTTCGAGTGAGCAAGGTGGAGAGTTCTTGGAGGGAGGGAGCCGAGGGTCTATCGGAAACAACCTCTCTACCCAGGGTAGGGGTAAGGTCTGCGTACACACTACCCTCCTCAGACCCCACTAGTAGGATTATACTGGGTTGTTGTTGTTGTTAAGGTATAAGTTAAAGGTATGTGAGGTATACCTAAAATTCAGTAGGAGTAGAATTGATAAAGATCATAATGAAAGAAATAAATATTTACCTCTAGTATTCCATGGCCGAAGCTACTTTCTCGGTATGCACTATAATCAGGTTGCTGATCCCAGCAGAAGTTACCAGCTGCTGGACCTGATGTAAAATTATAAGCACAGAATCCGCCCATAAATTTGTCCGGTGTGCTATCTGGTTTAGGACATTTCCCTGGCTCATCAGCATGTTCAATTGCCATCTTCTCACGGTTTCCACCATCACCGACAGTTATATAGACTGGACCACAAGGATCCAGTGTGTAGTTATAGACTCTGTTTGACCTTTCGTAGGCATGAACCTGTCGATTTCTTCAACTTATCAGTATTTGATACATAGATGTGCAATTTGAATGAAAGAGCATACACGAGCATTAATCTTTCTGCACCTAGAGTGGTACAAATTAGTTTGGGAAAGTTACACATTTGGCCGGTCGGCGAAAAATAATTACATTTGATATCCAATATACAAAACATATATAGTGATTATGTATAAAATATCTATATTTTTTGTATATTTTGCTGGCTATTATCTTTGATAGCGGCTATACTATGTAGTTTTCCCAATTAGATTTATGTGTTCTAGGCTAATGATAATTAATATTGTCACTTACATGTCCATTGAAAACTAAATCGACACCATACTCGTACAGCAACTCTTCCATCGCTACCTTCATACATTCAGCCTCTCGATAGTGTGCCGTGTAAGTAGAGTACCAAGGTGGATGCCAAGTGGCAACCAGCCACGGAGTAACTGTCCTATCAACATTAGCCAAGTCCCTCTCCAACCACTTGTATTGATCATCTGTAATCAGAAGCTTAGCGAGTCGTAACACTTTACTAGGTGGAGCAGAGCGGCAAAGAATGAAAACAAAGGACACATTCCAACCAATCGATGATTTGAGACAAATTTCCAAAGTCGACCGCAAGCATAACAAGGGGAATGAGAAAAGGATTGAAGAAAGGTTGAGAGTGTAGTTTACCTGACTTATTATAGGCGACATATCCCCCGAGCATGATGAAGTGTATGCCTCCCGCATTAAAAGAATAGTAAAATGGGGATGATGATCCACTTTCTTTTGACGGGAATGCAAAACGAGAACGATAGGCTGCAAATGTCTGATTTTCAGCTTGTTCTTCTATCTCATGGTTCCCCTCCACCACCATGATAGGAATTTTGGATACCAGCGGCTGCATATATCTATGGTGACAACGTCAGAAAAGAAGCACAAATTAATATAGCAAAGTATACGTGTTTTTCTGATCTGACGGACATCTAGAACTGGTCTTTCATGAATGATCAGGAGTTATCTCAGTTGAACCCTAAACTCTCAGTACAGAAGTTGAACTATCCATTTTGTTCTATGATAGTGAATCACATGTTATTACTTTATTCGAGATGTGTAAGGAAATTTTTTGAATGGGCAAAAAGGATTCAACCTCTCACCTTCCCCAATAGTCCCACCGAGGCTGATAGGTCTCATGTATCGGAGTGTCAGAAAATGAGCACGAGTAGCAATCTGCACCAGTACCATTTGAGAGATACAAATTAGCATACGTAACATCTCCCACCAATAGAACAAGATTTGGATCGTTCCCCATCAAATGGCTAACTGTGGAAGTGGTATTGTACGTGAGACCAAGGTCCCCTACAATTGCTATTCTCTTCGGGTAGCTCTTTGGAGAAGAAATAGGCATGGTCTTGAAATGGTAGATAGTACTCATAGCTGGT